TGGGAGTCATGGCAGGAGAGGTTGGAGCCATGGCAGGAGAGGTTGGAGTCATGGCAGGAGTCATGGCAGAAGTTGGAATCATGGATGGAGCCATGGCAGGAGAGGTTGGAATCATGGCAGGTGAGGTTGGAATCATGGCAGGAGAGGCTGGAATCATGGCAGGAGAGGCTGGAATCACAGCAGAAGAGGCTGGAGTCATGGCAGAAGTCCTGCCAGCAGGACAGAGGCTGTGCCCATCCCTGAGCTCTCACCACGTCGATCTCGGTGTTGGAGTGGCCCATGTTGCAGACGATGCAGCTGTTCTTCATCCGATCCAGATGTTCCCTGGTCACCACGTTCTTGTTCCCTGCAGGACAGAGGTCCCAGCTCACCCCAAGGCAAACACAAACCCTTTGGGCTCTGCACTCCAGTGGGAGAAGCTCAACTTGGGGTAACACCAGATGAACTTCCACCAAGCAGGCCCAGAGAGCCATGTTGGGTGAGTCCTGCTCATGGAACATCCTGAGCTGGAAGGATCAAGGATCATCAATCCAATTCCTGCCCTGCACAGGACACCCCAAAAATCCCACCATGAGAGCATTGTCCAAACACTCCATGAGCTCTGTCAGGCTGGAGGCCATGACCAGTGCCCTGAGGAGCAGTTCCACTGCCCAAATCTTTGGTTCCATGAATTCACCAGGCTCTAGGAGATCCCAAAATCCCATGGGAACACATGGCTGTGAGGTCCTTCCACCCTAGGCCTGAGGACCTTGGCCAAAGAGTAGACTGAGGTGAGGTGCAGGAGGGAAAGCTCTTGCCAGAGCCCACCAAGCAGTGAGGTGTCCTCCATCCCCAGCTCCCTTGAGGGCCTCCTCATTCCTTTTGGGAATGAATGCTCCTCCTCAGCATCTCCAAGGCTCCTCCATCCCTACCTGTGCAGGTGATGACAACATCCACCTGACGGATGACCTCGCTCAGCTTCACCACCCGAAATCCATCCATGCTGCCAAAAAAAAGGGGGAGAAGGACCATGAGGAGGAGGAGGAGAAGTTTGTTCTCTTCTCTGCTCCAGGCCAGGAAGCATCTCAGCAGCTTCCAACTGCTCAGGACAGCCAGGATGTCCTCCACCCCCACCAGGATGCATGGGGAAGGGATGTGTAATGGATGTGGTGGCCAACATGACCTCACAAGTGCTAGAAGAGCCACAAAGGTGTGGAGCATTCAGCACAAACCCTTCCCAGACCATCCAGGGCACATCTTCTGGTCCTTCAGCCCTGGAAGTCACCTCAGACTTCCCCACAGACACCAACAAGGTGTCTCTTCTCCCAGATCCTGGTCCAGCCTCTCAAGGGGTTTGGAGGAGGCTGGAGATGCTCAGAGGCAGCAGGTGACACCTTACCAGGCTTGGAGGGCACAGATGGGGTCGATCTCCGTGACGTAGACAATGGCTCCCAAGGCTTTCAGGGCAGCACAGCATCCCTTGCCAACCTGCCAAGGCACAGTGAGAGGTGGGACATGGACATTCCAGTGCTCCAACCCCTTCCCAAAACAGACCAAGTTCATCCCAGGCTTGGAGAGCCTCAGCCCAACCATCTGCCCCATGCCAGGAGCACCTCAGAGATGGACCTGGTGAGTGGCACAGAGGACACAAGCTCAGCTCCTCCTCCAAGGCCACCAGCTCTCCAGTATGGCCACCAGTC